AGTTTGATCTTTAAATCCTCATATTGTATCAGCTTTTCCAGTTGTTCCTCTTCAATCCTGCTGTCACCTGGGACTGCAACATCAACTATCCATACTTTGTTTTTTAACACAATCGTGAGGTCGGGAGTATTGTGTTCTAGAACTCTATCAATCTGAATTAAATGTTAGCGGATATTGCTTATGAGGGATGTAGGAACCATCAGTATTTATTTATTTATCATGTCTGAAGGGAGATGAGGATACAGTTAAAATGCATTTAAAAACACAAAGTTTAAAACTTGGCATTATGTTAAATGCCCTGTGACCAGAAGCTGGCCATTTGGAGTACCTCTGGTGTTGCTGTGAGAAGGCCCTCCATTGTGCATGTGGCAGGGCTCAGGTTGCATTGTAGCAGGGAGTTTGTGGTTTGCTCTTCTCCACACTCACATGTCGTGGACTCCACTTTGTGGCCCCATTTCTTAAGGTTGGCTCTGCATCTCATGATGCCAGAGCACAGCCAGGTTGCCCAGCCATCTGTGTGCCAAGGAGGGAGTTTCTCATCCGGTCTCAGCCACTGATTGAGGTGCTGGGTTTTAGCCTGTCTCTTTTGGACTCTTGCTTGCTGAGGTGTTCCTGCGAATATCCCTGTAGATCTTAGGAAGTTGTTTCTTGATGTAAGACATTGGCATTCTGGCTGGTATCTGAACAGAGGATGGGACAAAGCTATCAACGCCTTGGTGCTTTCATCAGTGGAACTATCAGTGAAAGGGCTGTAATATTTTCCTGCTGTGAGTCGTCAGCTGCACCATTTCTCCCCAATGAAATTTATCTCCTGGCAACATCCTGTGCCAATGCTTGGCACCGAAAGAGCTCTTGAGTAGCTTTGGAAAGCTGCCTCCATCTGGCACAGACGACGTCCAACTTACTACTCCCACTACAATCTTTTTCAAAACACTGAAACCTATTCAATTTAGGAAAATGCAAAAAAAGATTGCTGCAGGATATGTCCATTACATGCAGGACTTGGAAAAAGCATTTGGGCTATTGTTCCCAAATCCCCTAGCTAATGTGGCCAAAGCCGAGGGATTCTAGAGGAGAGTCTGAAAAACCTTCCTAAGCATTGAATTATACAGGTTGAGTATCCTTTATCTGAAGGAACAGAAGTATAAGAAGTCCCCCAAGCTACAAACAATAGAGCAGTGTTTCTCAACCTTCCTATTGCCGCGACCCCTTAATACAGTTCCTCATGTGGTGGTGACCCCCAACCATAACATTATTTTTGTTGCTACTTCATAACTGTCATTTTGCTACTGTTATGAATTGTGATATAAATATCTGATATGCAGTATGTGTTTTCAGTCACTGCATGGAATTTGGCACTAATACCCAATATGCCCAAATTTGAATACTGGTGGGGTTGCGGGGGATTGAGTTTGTTATTTGGGAGTTGTAGCTCCTGGGATTTATAGTTATCTTACAAATAAAGAGCATTCTGAACTCCACCAACGAGTGAATTGAATCAAACTTGGCACACAGAACTCCCATAAACAACAGAAAATACTGGAAGGGTTTGGTGAGCATTGACCTTGAGTTTTGGAGTTGTAGTTCACCCACATCCAGAGAGCATTGTGGACTCAAACAATGATGGATATGGACTAAACTTGGCAGGAATACTCAATATTCCCAAATGTGGACACTGGTGGAGTTTGGGGAAAATAGACCTTGACATTTGGGAGTTGTAGTTGCTGGGATTTATAGTTCAGCTACAGTCAAAGAGTATTCTGAACCCCACCAATGATAGAATTGGGCCAAACTTCCCACACAGAACYCCCAAGACCAAAAGAAAATAATGTCTTTTCTGATGGTCTTTGGCGACCCCTCTGACACCGCCTCGTGACCCCCCCCAGGGGTCCTGACCCCCAGGTTGAGAAACACTGCAGTAGAGGTTCTGATTTTTTTAAAATGTGGCTTGTTGTGGACACAAGGATTAGCGATAAAGCTTCAGTGGAGACATCTTTTTCCCATGAGGACACTTTCAGGAGTATATTTCCCTTCCTAGGGGGTAGATTTTGTTGGGCAAGTGGGCTTATTAACAAAAGACGCTCCTCATAAATGCACAGCAGAGTAACATATTAGCAGCAGCATTATCCAACACCAGTAGCCCAAAGTGATAAAAAGAACAAACACACGCAGACCATGTTATCTCTTCCATTGGAGGCTTTCCTTTATAGCAAAATAACATGGTTGCACTATTTACAAGAACAAGGTTTCCATAACACCGATAAAGATCTTTATGCTCCCATGCTGGGCTTCTTTCTCATGCAGATAAAAAGGTTCACTCTCACAGAGCCTCCTCTCACACTAAACGTACACAGGAGCTTCACACAGTAGCCTTTTACACACAAGGCCTTCAACCTGGGGCTTCTCTCACCGGAGCCTTCTCACACCAGGCCTCACACACACTGAGGTCTACTAACACCAAGGTTTACCTCACACTGAGACCTCTCTCAGACTGAAGCCTCTCTTTGTACTGAGGGTAACTAACACTGAGGCAAACTAAGCTACAGGCACACCTATTTATAGCAAAATAATGTGGTTGCACTATGTACAAGGACAAGGTTTCCATAACACAAATAAAGTTCTTTATACTTCCTTCTTTGCTTCCATGCTGGGCTTCTTTCTCATGCAGAGAATGTCGAAGGCTTTCATGGTTGGAATCACTGGGTTGCTGTGAGTTTTCCGGGCTGTATGGCCATGTTCCAGAAGCATTCTCTCCTGACGTTTCACCCACATCTATGGCAGACATCCTCAGAGGTTGTCCAGTGTGGGAGAAAGAACTCTTGTTCATCAGAGGTAGTCGTGAACACTGCAGTTGACCAATTAGCTTCCAACATGTTAAAATATAGTACATAGTCAAACAAAAGTCAACATCTATAAATAAAAATGTAATGTTCATTTGTGGGATTAATAGAAGTCAAAAACCACTGGACGAATTGACACCAAATTTGGACACAAGACACCTAACAGTCCAATGTATGTCCTTCACTCAAAAAATTGATTTTGTCATTTGGGAGTTGTAGTTTCTGGAATTTGTCGTTTATGTACAATCAAAGAGCATTCTGAACCCCACCAACGATGGAATTGAACCAAACTTGGCACACAGTTCTCCTATGACCAACAGAAAATACTGGAAGGGTTTGGTGGGCAGTGTCCTTTGGTTTTGGAGTTGTAGTTCACCTACATCCAGAAAGCACTGTGGACTCAAACAATGATGGATCTGGACCAAATTCTACACAAATACTCAATATGCCCAAATGTGAACACTGATGGAGTTTGGGGAAAATAGATTCTTGACATTTGGGAGTTGTAGTTCCTGGGATTTGTAGTTCACATACAATCACAGAGCATTCTGAGCCCCATCAACGATAGAATTGGGCCAAAACTCCCACACAGAACAGCCATGTGGGCCACAGCAACGCGAGGCAGGGGACGGCTAATCTATATACATAAAAATGTAATGTTCATTTGTGGGATTAACATAACTCAAAATCCACTGGATGAATTGACATGAAATTTGGACACTACACCCCTAACATACCAACGAGTGACCATCACTCACAAACCCCTCCCAAAAAATAGCGGAAAGGACTTAACCCCCCCCCCCCAAACTAAATAACGATACAGTGCATATGTGAAAATGACAGCTCCCAGCATCCCCTAGACCAGGCTCTTTGGGGGAGGAGAATGCTCCAAATGCACTGCTTCCAAGCTTCTACTTGGATTTCTTTGAAAGCATCCCAATCCATACATATTTCCAATCCTCCAGATAGATAAGATATATAGATTAGATATAGATAGTAGGTAGATAGATCAATCAGGAGGAGTGCTGGGAGTTGCAATCCAATAATAGGTAGAGAAGGAAGAAAGGAGTGAAAGAAAAGGGGAGGGGAAGGAGGAAAAAGGTAGAGAAGGAAGGAAGGAGAGAAGGAAAGAAAAAAAGGGAAGGAAGGAAGGAAGGAAGGAAGGAAGGAGAGAAAAAAGGAGAGAAAGAGGGAGGGAAGGTTGGCCACAGCAACGCGTGGCAGGTACAGCTAGTATAAAAATAAAACACTATAAGAGTCAAGCAAAACATAAATAAACAATTAAATGTAGGCTACTATAATGGGTTTGGGGACCAGTTTCCCATCAATCCAGAAATTGTACAGATTGCCAAAAGTATAAGAGAGAAAACTGGAAACGACTGGAAATCCATTTTAGATTTTGGAAAAAGAGGGCTATATATTTAATGCAAACAGTAGGAATGGAAAGAATATGCTCTACTATCCGTTTCCTATTCAAAAAGCAGGTTTCCTGATGGTTGGGAAACCCTGTTGGAAAGACTAAAAGAGCAGTGAGACTTTTGCTCAGTTTCCTCCCAAGATGCTCATGTCTTGAAATATTCCAGATTGGATTGCCAAAGAGAAAACCGAAGCTGGCTTCTGTCCTTTTAATGGTTATATAGAAAACAGGTCTTGGTTGTCATGCGACCAGGTAACCAGCAACACCTGCTGAAATCCCCCTCTTTTGCACAACCATTAAAATGTGCTATTGCTGGCTGCATTTCCAGTCTGGCAGTCCTAGTTTGAGGAAACAGAGAGACATATAGATTTTTTTTATACAAAAAGATGGTTTTTGTGCATGGAATATATTTTATTAAAAGGCTCACGTACAAAGTGGTGTGAAAGATTCCTACCTGAGACAATTGTGAGGTCTTGCTGATGTAAATATTGACTTAAGTTGGTCCAAGGCAGAACTTGGAAACAACTTTTCTGCAAAACATTTTAGAAAATTATATTTACAAATGTAAGTTGTCCAGTCTTGAGTATAAGGCAGTGTCTTCTATTCCTGTCCCCTTCACCATTGCTATTAAAGGTGCAAAAGCCCCTTTGTCTTTGCATGCTGTTAATTTGGGTACGAATGGTAAGAGGAAGCTGAGCAAGTACACATTCCGTGTCTAAACATCCTCTTTGCACATCCTTCAGGTCTTCCACTCTCCCACCCCTGGACTGGCCCCTCCCCAGTCAATATGAGCAGTATGAGCTGAAGATCGAAGTGCAGCCTCGAAACTACCACCGAGCCCATTACGAGACGGAAGGCAGCAGGGGAGCTGTGAAGGCTGCACCGGGAGGACATCCTGTGGTGAAGGTAATATGGGGAAGCAGTATGAGGAGAAGACCTGGCATAAGGGACTGTGTAGTGTAGTGGTTGCAGTGCTGGACTGGGAGGACTGGGTTCATAGCTCCACTTGGCCACGAGGTTGCCTTACTGGCCTTGGACCAGTCATTGTCTCAGAGAACCACATACTGGGCACCTTACTTTTTGGAGCAGGGCTATAAACGTGGCTATAAACGTGCCGAGGCTTATTAAATTTGGTTTTCTGTGGGTGAGCTGATGGTGGCTACTGGATGGCATATGTTCTGTATCAGAAACTAGAGCTGATGTGGTCTAGCCAATGCAATTTTTGGAGTCAGCACCCCATATAACCAAATCGAATCTAAATCTGATTCGCAACTCGTAACTCTAAATCTGATTCGTAACCGAATCTGATTCATAACTTTTTTGGTACTAATTTTGGAGAGTCGTCCCTGGTCAAAGTGGTCCCTGGTCAAAAGAAGGTTGGGAACCACTGCTGTAAACCATGCTTAAATAAACAGAGAGAAGAGAACTCTGATTGTATATATATAAAATGATTGCTAGATATTTCTTAAACTTGGTGGATGCTTTAATGTTCCCATGATGTCACAAACCAAGATGATGAGACCTGGCTCGACAACAGTCTGTGTGACAAAGGTCTTGGAGTCTTAGTAGTCAACAAGTTGAACATGAGACAATAATATGATGCAACAGCTAAAAAGCCAGTGGGAGAATAATGTCTAGATCAGTGTTTCCCAACTTTCCTAATGCTGCGACCCCTTAATACAGTTCTTCATGTTGTGGTGACACCCAACCATAAAGCTATTTTAGTTGCTACTTCATAACTTTATTTTTGCCCCTGTTATGAATCGTAATGTAAATATCTGATATGCAGGGTGTATTTTCATTCACTGGACCAAAATTGGCACAAATATCCGATATGCCCAAACTGAATACTGGTGGGGTGGGGGAGGGGGGAGGATTGATTTTGTCATTTGGGAGTTGTAGTTGCTGGGATTTATAGTTAACCTACAATCAAATAGCATTCTGAACTCCACCAGCGATGGATTTGAACCAAGATTGGCACACAGAACTCCCATGACCAACAGAAAATACTGGAAGGGTTTGGTGGGCAATGACTTTGAATTTTGGAGTTGTAGTTCACCTACATCCAGAGAGCACTGTGGACTCAAACAATGATGCATCTGGACCAAACTTGGCACGAATTCTCAATATGCCCAAATGTGAACACTGGTGGAGTTTTATGATGGTCCTTGGTGACCCCTCTGACACTCCCCATGACCATGCTGGTCTAGATCAAGGGACATCATGATTCCTCTTTTTTTGGTCTTTGGTCAAACCTCACCTGGAATAAGACTGTGTCCAATTCTGGGCAACACAATTTTAAGAAAGGTAGTGGCAAACTGGAATGTGTCCAGATGAGGGTACCTAAGATTTTTTTAGTGTGGCATATCAGGAGTGATTTGAGAAACTGCAAGTTGCTTCTGGTGTGAGAGAATTGGCTGTCTGCAAGGACGTTGCCCAGGGGGCGCCCTGATGTTTTGATGTTTAACATCCTTGTGGGAGGCTTCTCTCATGTCCCCACATAGGGAACTGGAGCTGAGAGAGGGAGCTCACCTTCCATCTCTGGATTTGAACCTCCAATCTGTCGGTCTTCAGTCCTGCAGACACAAGGGTTTAGCCTATTGCACCATCGGGGCAGGGCGGGGTGGGGGGTGGGGGACACACTCCGACCTAAGATCAGAGGTCTGGAGACCATGAATAATCTGTCTAAGGAGTGGTTTTAAGAGCTGGGGATGTCTAGCTTGCAGAAGAGAAGGTTGAGCGGAGACATGATAGCTGTGTATAAATATGTGAAAGCATGTCATCATTGATTTCATGGAAACCCATAAGAGAATTGCCGCTTGTGACATATGACTGGCATAGGCCCACGGGCCATCATTTGAATTCTCTGGGCTACCACACATTAGCCTCTATTTCAGTCCTGGCTAGAATTGACCCATTGAATTTATCAATCGATTGATTTATTGAATGTACTCTAATTGGGATTAAATGACAGCCAATTAATGAAAAAAGTGCAAATACATGTGCTTTCTGTGTTGGACTAGAACTTTGATAGACTTTGGGTCCTTCCAGAAAAGGTTCTAAATCCCGGGATCTGATCCTGGGTTTTTTGTTTATCCCAGATTATCTGACAATGCGGACTCATATAATCCAGTTTAAAGCAGAAAATTTGGGATTAGATCCTGGTATATGGGGCCCGTCTAGAAGGACCCTGGGCTTCAAATTGCTACTCAGGCAATGTGGGTGACTTTGGGCGAGTCACACTCTCTCGGCCTCAGAGGAACTCCCCTTGAGCAAGCCTTGCCAAGAAGGTTACCAGAAGTCGAAAATGACTTAAACTTCTCAATAATGACAGAAATGACTTTAACTTCATACATAACTACGTACATACTGGACAGGTGCGCCTCCTTGTGGCCAGAGAGTGGAGTGTAAACCCTGTTCATGGGCCAAAAGTACCTCTGAGCATGAGTAGAATGTTTTTGTGGATATTGTATAATCTCAGCCTCATCTTTAAAAAAAATTGAGGAGATCACTGATTGAGGTGAGGGCAGTATCTCCAAAGGGCTTTTTAAATGCCGTATTCTAATTTGACATTTTCTGCAAAGCTAGTCCAGAAGGAAAAGAGAACCTTTCCTCACTTATTTTCCTTCTCCATTTTTTTTGTTTTCATTTTCCTTTCATGGGCAGGGTGGGACAGTTTTGAAAGCATCCCTCCAGTAATGTAAAAAATGAAAACTATTCCCACTTCAAAGTGTTTCCTGACTGCATGTGCACGCAAGAAGCCCAGAAAAAGAACGAAAAGAGGACAACAAACGGCACAGATTTTGTTTATAATGAATTGCGAAACAGATGCCTGCTAAATTTAGGTTGAGTAAATGCAAAGGTTGGTTTTTTTGGGGCGGATGGGAAAGAGTGAGTTTGCTTATCATAAAGAGAGGAGCATATGTGCGAGACAAGGGAGAGTGTGCCAGGCTGGAGGGAGATTCACGCCAGCGAGTCCCTTCAAGGCATGGGGGTTCTGTGTGGGAAGTTTGGTCCAAATCTATTGTTGGTGGGGTTCAGAATGCCCTTTGATTGTAGGTGAACTATAAATCCCAGCAACTACAACTCCCATATCAAGCTCTATTTTCCCCAGACTCCACCAGTGTTCACATTTGGGCATATTGAGGATTTGTGCCAAGTTTGGTCCAGATCCATCATTGTTTGAGTCCACAGTACTCTCTGGATGTAGATGAACTACAATTTCAAAAATCAAGGTCAATGCCTACCAAACACTTCCAGTATTTTCTGTTGGTCATGGGAGTTCTGTGTGCCAAGTTTGGTTCAATTCCATTGTTGATAGAGTTCAGATTGCTCTTTGGTTGTAGGTGAACTATAAATCCCAGCAACTACAACTCCCAAATGCCAAGCTCTATTTTCCCCAAACTACACAGTGTTTACATTTGGGCGTTTTGAGTATTTGGGCCAAGTTTGGTCCAGATCCATCATTGTTTGAGTCCACAGTGCTCTCTGGATGTAGATGAACTACAACTCCAAAACTTAAATTCAAGGCCAACGAAACCCTTCCAGTATTTTTTGTTGGTCGTGGGAGTTCTGTGTGATCAGGTTTGGTTCAATTCCATCTTTAGCGGAGTTCAGGGTGCTCTCTGATTGTAGGTGAACTATAAATCCCAGCAACTACAACTCCCAATCAACCCCCCCCAACCCCACCAGTAGTATCAAATTTGGGCATATTGGGTATTTGTGCCAAATTTGGTCCAGTGAATAAAAATATCTCCTGCATATTAGATGTTTACATTAAGGTTTATAATAGTAGCAAAATTATCATTGTGAAGTAGCAACTAAAATAATTTTATAGTCAGGGGTCACCACAACATGAGGAACTGTATTAAGGGGTCGTGGCATTAGGAGGGTTGAGAAACACTGCCTTAATTGAAACCTCTCCTACAGTTTATTGCAGCTTTCAATTTAACCCAAATAGGGTGCACCTAAAATGTAGAATTAATACAGTTTGACATCACTTTATCTACTAGGGCTGGGCGGTTTCATTTCGTTAATTCGTAATTCGTTAAAAAATCGTTTTTTATAATGAAGCGATAACGAACCATTCTGGAGCAACTTAAAAACGAAACGAATTTTTAAATTCGTTTCGTAATTGTTTCGGCTTCGTTATGTATTCGTTTCATTATCGTTTTGAAGTCGTTTCGTTATTATTTCCGCATGTCTGGGGCAAGTTTTATAGTTGTTTTTTTTAATTAGTGAAAAAAAATTATAATATCACACCAACAGTCAACAACAGAGGGAGAGGGAAGCTTCAGAAGTTCCCCCTGTCCCATTTGGAGGGTTTTTTAGCGTATTGCGCAGTCGTGTCCGCCATTAACGAATCGATTCGTTATTGTTTCGATTTGCTTCGTTAATGTTTTGTAATTTTTTTTAACATTCACGAAATTTCGTAAATATCGAACTTTTTAAAAGAAAAATTTTGGAATACTTTTTAAAATCGAAACGCAAAAACCCCCAAAAAACGAATCGATTTTAGAAACAAATTTTTCCGTTGTTACCCAGGCCTATTATCTACTATAGCTCACTGCTGTGGAATAATTGGAGTTGTAGTTTTACAATGTCTTTAGCTTGCTCTCCATAGCATTGAGCCATGGCGATTAAAGTTTTGTCAAACTGCATTAAGTCTGCGGTATAGTTGCACCCTTTTGTGATCTTTATATATGTTTTTTTATTAGGGTCTTCGGACTTCCTAGTTCAGAAACTTCTCTTCCCAAGTCCAAAAATCTTTCTTCCCTTTCGCTTTTATTCCCACCCTCCAGTTTTGAACTTTTATTTTGTGTAGGCTTCAGTCTTCCCTTCCCCGAGCGCATTCCCCTGGAACCAGGATCTTGGGTCTGCCCTTTCCCACGCTCTAATTCCAGAATCGCAGAGCTAGTCTCCTCCGCATCCATCCCTCTGCGTCACTCTTGGTGAAAGACAGGGATAACAAGCTGGTTTGGAAAGGGAGAATATAGGAAAATACCTCCCTATGGGTTTTTTTTCCTTGATGAGTTCTATTTTTCTTTGGTGGGTGTCCCAGATCCAGCTTTTTCCTTAGAGGATATACCCTCATGTACTCATGTGTAAGTCTTGAAAGTTATCCATGGGTCAGTGTGACTGCTGTAACTATTATCAAGAAGGGAATATCCTTTTCTGAGCAGTGGCAAAAGGCAAGAGTCCATCCCAGAAGAAGCTAAAAGAAAGACTAATCTTTTCTTTCCGACTTTTTCAATGCCTGGGAAGGAAAATGGTTGTGGTGTCCAGGGGCAACTAGCACTGGTGCATTCCCTCTCTGTGGAATGACCCTTGACTTATTCATGGTTCAAATCAAAGTCTATAATGTTGGCCCCCAAACCTCCCCTTGACTTATCCATACGTCATTGTCAGTGTTCATCGCTTATACATGAGGTTGACTTACACATGTGTATACAACAACTTGGTGTCTTTCTTTGGGTCTTATCAAACTCCAACACATTGGACCCCAAACCTCCCCTCAACTTATTCATGGGTCATATCAAAACCCATCAACTTGGCTCCAAACTTGCCCTTAACTTATTCATGGGACATTGTCAAAAGTCCATCATTTATACATGAGGTCAACTTATACACAAGTTCGACTTATACATGGGTATATACCACAACTTGGTGTTTTTCCATGCGTCATATTGAACTCCATCACACTGGACACCACACTTATTTGTGGTCATATCAAAACCCATTAACTTGGTCCCAAAACTTACCCTTAACTTATTTGTGGGTCTTTGTCAAAGTCCACTTGTACATGAGGTTGACTTGTGCATAAGGTCAACTGATTCATGAGTATATACAACAACTTGGTGTCTTTCCCTGAGTCATATCAAACTCCATCACACTGGACGCCAAACCTCCCCTAAACTTATCCATGGGTCATATTACAATCCATCAACTTGGTCCCAAAACTTACCCTTAACTTATTCATGAGTCACTGTCAAAGTCCATCACTTATACATGAGGTCAACTTATACATGAGATCGACTTATACATGAGTATATACAACAACTTGGTGTCTTTCCATGGGTCGTTTCAAACTCCATCACACTGGATGCCAAACCTCCCCTCAACTTATCCATAGGTCAGATCAATACCCATCAACATGGCCCCAAAACTTGCCCTTAACTTATTCATGGGTAGTTGTCAAAGTCCATCACTTATACATGAAGTCGATTTATACATGAGATCGACTTATACATGAGTATATACAACAACTTGGTGTCTTTCCATGGGTTGTCTCAAACTCCATCACATTGGACCCCAAACTTCCCCTCAACTTATCCATGGATCATATCAAAGCCCATCAGCTTGGCCCCAAAACTTACCCTTAACTTTTTCATGGGTCAATGTCAAAGTCCATCACTTATACATGAGGTCAATTTATATATAAGGTCGGCTTATACATGAGTATATACAACAACTTGGTGTCTTTCCAAGCTCTTTCCTAACCACCGTTTCCCCCAAAGTTCTCATCTTTTCCATGTTTTGAAAAGTTGGCACAAATCTGTTCGGATAGCAAGACCATCTTGCATGACATAGAACACATCCATACTGCCATATAATGCAGTTTAAAACTGCATTATATGGTCAGTGTAGATGTGGTCTAAGTCATGCAAGACGGTCTTGCTATCCAAACACATTTGTGGTCTATGTTGAACTGCATTATATGAGTCTACACTAGTCTTGCTATCCAAACAGATTTGTGGTCTATGTTGAACTGCATTATATGAGTCTACACCAGTCGTGGGCAAACTTTGACCCTCCAGGTGTTTTGGACTTCAACTCCCACAATTCCTAACAGCCAGGTCAAAGGGCCAAAGTTTGCCCACGACTGGTCTATGCTGACCATGCAGCTCAACTGCATTATATAAGTCTAAACTGACCATATAATTCAGTTTCTAACTGCATTATATGGCAACATACATGGGTCCAAAGAAGGAGGGAGGAAAAGGAGTAAAAAGGGAGTGTTTCCTTTAAGGCTGAAATCGACTACAGCTGGAAACCTTGGCTTCTTATTAAGAACATCTGGGCAGCCCCTGCGGCAAGACCACCGAACGGCGGATGTCTCCCACTGCAGTGGCAAGTGACAAAGCGGGCGACTGGTTCAAGATGGAAGAGAGGCGCTGCTATAAAACGACCCCTTTCATTGAATGAAGACCTGATTTGCTAGTTTGCTACTAAAGGGTTTACTAACCTAAGCAGAGAATTAGCACAACAAAGTCCGTCTTAAACGGAATTGCACTGAATCGGAACTGAAATGAGGATAATCAAGTGGCAGGAATAAAAAAAGAAATACCCAATCTATCAAAGCTTTCTCCTAAACTGTTAGTGTTTATGACCATTTTGTGATGCTGTATAGCCTTGGGCAAACAAGGGTCCTATGGTTAAGAATTTCTTTGAAGTTTGAAAGGATGCCTACAAATTAAACCTTTTTTAAAACACAGATTTGTGTTATGCCCAGTTCTTGCAGAAGCTACTTTTTTGGATCCTCAGCGTTGTAATTTCAGTGGCTATGCTAGCTGGTGAGAATTGCAATGCCCATATTAGAGTCCAAAAAAGATAACTTTACAGTGTCCTGGTTCTATCTGTGATTGGAAGAGTTTGAACATACTTTTGCCCTATGTAGAGCAATGGTTGTAAAGGAGGCACATGATACCTGTTGGGTTTGGTTCTAGATGACTGCTCAAGTCACATTCTATACAGTGTTATATAATTGGAGACATACACGTATGGAACATGTTGTCCCTTATATGATGTAGCAAAATTAAAGTTTGCTTATATATATATGTATATATTCTCTCTACATTTGCGAGTTTGACTTTTGTGAAGTTTGTTGTTTTTGTGGATATGTTCTGTCTAGGAATCTCTGAGTCCTCTAATGTAATTCTGTGGACAACTTTCAACAGAGATTGTCCACAAACTTGTCAGAAATATTAAAAATTAACTAGGTATTTTTTAATTACAAAAATGTGAGTCAAGCACTCAAAGGGTTAAATGAATGCAATGACTCCGCAAAAGCTGCTGTTCAATATAAGTAGGTGTGCCTATAGCTTAGTATGCCTCAGTGTTAGTTGCCCTCAGTACAAAGAGGCTTCGGTTTGAGAGAGGCCTCAGTCTGAGAGAGGCTTCAGTGTGAGATAAACCTAAGTGTTAGTAGGCCTCAGTGTGTAAGAGCTCTCTGTGGGAGAAGGGCCTCAGTGTGTTAGTAGTCCGCAGTATGAGAAGGTCTCATTATTAGTTCACTGCAGAGTGAGAAAAGCCTCAGTCTGAGGGAGCCCTCAGTGTGAGAAGGCCTCAGTGGGAGAAAGGCATCAGTGTGAGGTAGGCCTCAGTATGAGGAAGGCCTGGTGTGAGCTTTGGTGAGAGAAGCCCCAGGTTGAAGACCATTGTGTGTGAAGCTTCAGTGTATGAAGGCTGCTGTGAGTAAAAAGCTACTGTGTGAAACTCCTGTGTAACTTCGGTGTGAGAGGATGCCCTGTGAGAGCGAAGCTTTTTATCTGCATGAGAAAGAAGCCCAGCATGGAAGCAAAGAGGGAAGCATAAGGATCTTTATTTGTGTTATGGAAACCTTGTTTTCGTAAATAGTGCAACCATATTATTTTGCTATAAAGAGATAACATTGGTCTGTGTGTTTTTGTTCTTTTTATCACTTTGGGCTATTGGTGCAGGGCCATGCTGCTGCTGATATGTTACTCTGCTATTCATTCATGGGGAGGGTCTTTAGTTAAAAAGCCCACTCACCCAACAAAACCTGTGCTGGAAGACCTAGAGATTTTTCTGTTCCTGGTTTGAAAGTGTTATTTCCTGTTTAATTGTGCAGCATTTACTTTGAAAGTATTTGTTATACTCCAGAAACTTTGTTTTCATGGCTGCCACAAACTATGTTGAATTTGTTGAGACTCTATGAGATAGTCATTTAAAAACTATAGCAAAATATGCTGCAGGATGGCCCGCAAAAACAAAGGTTTTTTTTACAGTTTAATAAACTTTTCCATGTTTTTATGATAGGACCAATTAGGAAATGACATGTATAACCCAGGAACAAAAAGCGTGTTCCATAGCGATATCTTACAAATCACATATTTTTAGAAATGTAAATGAAAGTTTTTTGTGAATTATGTTGTGACCCCAAACATTTCATTATTGTAATTTATGTATGTATCTCTGAGAGCTCCCAGTGGCGCAGCGGATTAAAACGCTGAGCTGCTGAACTTGACCGAAAGGTCACAGGTTCAAATTCAGGGAGCGGCATGAGCTTCTGCTGTTAGCCCCAGCTTCTGCCAACCTAGCACTTTGAAAAAATGCAAATGCAAGTAGATCAATAGGTACCAGTCCAGCAGGAAGGTAATGGTTCTCTATGCAGTCATGCCGGCCACATGACCTTGGAGGTGTCTATGGACAACGCTGGCTCTTCGGCTTAGAAATGGAGATGAGCACCACCCTCCAGAGTCAGACACGACTGGACTTAATGTCAGGCGAAAACCTTTACCTTTACCTTTGTATCTCTGATGAGGGATTGGTTTCACCTCTGGTTTGCTAGTAAAACTGATTTCTTGTGTGTGTCAGAAATGATGCATGTCTAAAAAGTGTGTCATCAGTTTGAAATGCTTACAAAGCTCTCGTCTGTACGATTTTGGAAGCATTAACTCATTCAGCATTAGCAACACGACAAGGACAGATTTGAAACAAGAAATCCCCAAACACAGAAATGATTATGTTACGAATAAACTTGAGAATCAGGCTGTGTTTGAAACCGAGTGATAAAAGGATTTTAAAATATGAAGGACTGAACTTATATTGTTATCCTTTCTTCTCCAACCCAAGCTTATAGGTTACGACGAGAAACCTCTCACCCTGCAAATGTTCATTGGCACGGCAGATGAGCGCAACCTGCGTCCGCACGCTTTCTACCAGGTCCACCGCATCACGGGGAAGATGGTGGCCACCACCAGTTACGAATCCATCATCAGCGGCACAAAGGTCCTCGAGATGTCGCTGCTCCCAGAGAACAACATGGCTGCAAAGTGAGTCCTTCTTTTGCAAACACAAAGGGTCAAGATATCTTTCCCAGGCCCTCTGAGTTTAAGAAACCATTTAAGCAAGACTAATTCAGTATGAAGGTAAAATACCCTCTGACCAGGATGGTAAAAAGAGGCTGATAACACTATATAATACAAAAACATTGTTCCTGGGTTATAAATGTCGTTACCCAATTGGTTCTATCACAAAAACATGGAAAAAAATTATTAAACTGCAAAAACTGTTTTTGCAGAACATTCTGCACCACATTTTGCAATAGTTTTTCAGTGAATATCTCTAGCTAAATTGGATCAGCTTGATGCAATGGTCAGATAATGGAGATTTAACATCATTCTTTATAATGGATGGATTTGTATCTGCGGAGCACCTGAAATTGAGGATATAGCACACATATTATTTGATTGCAAATTGTATCAGAAGGTGGGAGACTTCTACTTTGGTCCATATATCAAATGGACAATGTATTGGGAATCTCACATCAGAACAATATATTTTATGTGTGGCCAAGACCCAAAAATATCATATAAACAGTTCTGTATTTGAGCAGAACAATACATTTTAGAACTACATATGTGGGGTTGATTGGGGTAAATTGTAGGGGTGATAAAGAAATATGATGTATATTCTCAGTTTTTTTCAGTTTTATCATATCTTATGGAGCCCCCGGTGGTGCAAGGGATTAAACCTTTGTGCTGGTAGGACTGAAGACTGACACGTTGTAGGTTCGAATCTGGGGAGAGCGTAGATGAGCTCTCTCTGTCAGCTCTAGCTCCCCATGTGGGGACATGAGCGAAGCCTACCACAAGCATGGTAAAACCTCAAACATCTGGGCATCCCCTGGCAACATCCTTGCAGACAGCCAATTCTCTCACACCAGAAGCAATATGCAGTTTCTCAAGTCGCTCCTGGCATGAAAAAAAAATCATATCTTATATTTATTTACTGTATTTTTAAAAGTGTCCTATTTTAACTTACAACATAGAGTGCAATCAAGTCTGATCAAGCCTTGTTGTTTGGTTTGGTATTGTGATATGGCCTAAGGGCTAATCCATACAATTATTACTATTATTATTCTAAAGAATTTCTCATAGAATCTCAACCAATTCAATGTAGTTTGTGGCAGCAACAAAAACGAAGTTTCTAGAGTATAATAACTAGTTTCAAAGTAAATACCGCACAATTAAACAGGAAATAACATAGTGTAATGATGGAAAGGTGAAAGGATAGAGGGGAGAAAACACTAACTGAAGTATTAAAGTAGAGGGTAATATTCTGTAATCAGGGCCAAGTATGCATGTTTGTAAGAGAATAAAATGGAAAGGATTAAGAGCTTTCCCCATAGCAGGAAAAGAGGTTCCCCTGTCCCAGGTTGCATCCACAATGTAGAATGAATGCAGTTTGATGCTGCTTCAAGTGTGATGGCTTCATGCTATGGAATGCTGGGAATTGAAGTTTGGTGAGGCACTACCACTCTTTGGAAGAGAAAGCTAAGGTTCTTGTACAACTGGAATTCCTATGATTCCATAGTATTGAGCCACGGTAGTGGAAAAAGAAGGGGAGCCTGTGCCTCTGTTTATGTACTGTCTGTCTTTGTTAATTGTATAACAGCATTGAATGTTTGCCATATATGTATACTGTAATCCGCCCTGAGTCCCCTTGGGGAGATAGGGCGGAATATAAATAAAGTATATTATTATTATTATTATTATTATTATTATTATTATTATTATTATTATTAGTTCAAGTGGTGTGAAGCTGAATTCATTCTGCTGTGTAGATGCAGCTTCAGTCTCGCAAATCTAGCTCGACAAAATCTTCCTTCCTTGTTTTAGTTTTCCCTTTTTGGCAAGTCCTTTGGCCTTTCCTTTGCAGCATTGACTGTGCTGGGATCTTGAAGCTGCGGAATTCGGACATTGAGCTGCGCAAGGGCGAGACGGACATTGGCCGCAAGAACACGCGGGTGCGCCTGGTCTTCCGGGTCCATGTGCCGCAAGGGAATGGCAAGGTGGTTTCCATCCAGGTGGCTTCGGTGCCCATTGAGTGCTGTGAGTAGTCATTGGGGGCAAAACGGTGAAGTTGACAACTGCCCAAATCAAAGATAGAATCATAGAGTTGGGGAAGAACATAAAGGCCATCCAGCCCAACTCCCTTCTGTCTTACAGAAATATTCAATCAAAGCACTCCCAACAGATGGCCCTGCAGCCACTGCTTCAAAAACTCCAGAGAAGGAGATGCCACCACACTTCAAGGCAGCATATCCCACTGCCGAACAGCTCTTACTGTTAGGAAGTTTTTCCTAATGTTTAGGTGCAGTCTCTTATCCTGAAATTAGAACCCATTGCTCCACGTCCTAGCTTCTAGAGCAGCACAAAACAAACTTGTTCCCTCCTCAATGTGATAGCCTTTCAAATAATTTAAATATGGCTATCATGTCCCCTCTGGTGAGCCCCCGGTGGCGCAGTGGGTTAAAGCTCTGTGCCCGCAGGACTGAAGACCGACAGGTCACAGGCTCGAATCCGGGGAGAGGCGGATGAGCTCCCTCTATCAGCTCCAGCTCCTCATGCGGGGACATGAGAGAAGCCTCCCACAAGGATGATACAAACATCAAATCATCCGGGCGTCCCCTGGGCAACGTCTTTGCAGGCGGCCAATTCTCTCACAACAGGAGCTACTTGCAGTTTCTCAGGTCACTCCTGACACGACAAAAAAAAAAAAAAGTCCCCTCTTCGTCTTCTTTTTTCCAAGCTTAAAACACCCAGCTTCCTAAGCCATTCCTCATAGGGTTTGGCTTCCTGACCATTGATCATTGTGGTTGACCTTCTCTGGTCACGTTCCCGCTTGTCAGTCTCCTCCTTGAGTTTTGGGCACAAGGTTATTCCAAGTAAGACCTGACTAAAGCAGACTAGAGTGGGACTATGATTTCCCTCAATCTAGACCAGTGGTTCTCAACTTTCCTAATGCTGCAACCCCTTAATATAGTTCCTCATGTTGTGCTGACCCCCAACCATAAAGTTATTTTTGTTGCTACTTCATAACTGTAATTTTGTTATGAATCGTAATGTAAATATCTGATACAAACCATGGAAATGAACAAAATCTGGTTACCAATATTAAAAAACACCAGAATCAAGACAGTAAATAAAGGAGGAGAAGGCAAAGCTGGCCAGCCTTTGTCTCTCTCTCTCTCTCCCTCCCTCACTGTCTCGCTCTTCTTGCCATCTCCTCTCTTTCTCTTACTCTTTCTCTCTCTCAAGCGCCTTATGTGGTAGCTCAGCCCGAATCCAGGAGGGCCAAGGGCAGCTCCGGGAAAGAAGAGGAAATCGTGCTGGAGCCCAGGACTGGAAGCAACAGGAGGAAAGGAAGGACAGCCAGGACAAGGGGCAGGGCTGGCCAGGCAGAGCAAGCCACAGGTGCCTCCTCCTGACTTTGTGCCCTGGATGCTATGCCAGCTGGGTTGCTGGGCAATGGGCAGAGGTGGCTTCTGAGGCTGCCGTGCTTTCCTGGGTCCTTGTTGCACCTCGGCGGGAAAGCTCATTGCCTCTTCCAAGCCTGACAGGCTGCCAGAGCTGGGCGCCAGGGGCACCACAGCAGGGTCCAGACATCTTCATCCACACAAGCCTGCGTCTCCAAGTTACTCCTCAGACGCCCCGCTGCTCCGAGAGAGGAAGAGATGAGGAGGAGGATGAGCTGACCCACAGAGGGGACCTGACAGCCATTTCAAGGAGGTGGAGGGAGCGGGTCCAAAGGAGGTGGCGGTGTGACCCCTCTCAAATAGCCAATTGACCCTTATGGGGGTCGTGACCCCCAGGTTGAGAACCAATGATCTAGACAGTATGTTCCTATAGATGCAGCCTAGAATCACATTGGCTTTTTAAGCTGCCTTATCACACTGTTGGCTCATGTTTGAGTTGCGGTCTACTAAGACTCCTAAATCCCTTTCATATGGACTGTTGTTCAAGCCAGATGTCATCCATCCTATACCTGTGACTCCATCCTCACCATATCAAATCCCATTGATTGAAGGGGATGGAAGGATTAAATACTTGCTATACCATCTGTCTGTATTACCTGATTGACTGTGAGCACAGTTTATCTCCCACCTTCCATCCCTAAGGCCCTCTTTGTTCTCACCTGCTTTCCTTGTTTTCCTTTTAGCCCAGCGCTCAGCTCAGGAGCTCCCCCAAGTGGAAAACTACAGCCTCAGTGCCTGCTCCGTCCATGGCAGTGAAGAAATGGTGATCACCGGAGCCAACTTCCTGCCCGAATCCAAGGTTGTCTTCATTGAGCGAGGCCCTGGTACGCAGCCTATAATGTAACCTTCCTGCTTGCCCTTGGCTCACTTTGGAGCCCTGGATTGCTTTCAAACTGGGGGCATGTTTCCCCGCTAGTAGCTGTTAGAAATATTCACAGTTCATTTCCCAACTGAAAAATGGGTTCTCTGACACTCTGGAAACACAACAGGGAGGAATAATACAAAAATGAGAATTTTGCATTGCTTTATTGCACATTACTCTATGTAACACGATTTTTGTTCCTGGGTTATCAATGTCATTTGATTTCACATGCTAGAACAAAACAAACAAACCATGTGTATTCCCTATCTTCTGTAATTTTAAACTTCTCACTTTGAAGTCAGTAGATTACAATACGGGTTAAGTATTGTTTTTCAGAAATACTAAGATCAGAATTGTTTTTAATACTAATGATGTTTAATACTGTTTTAATATTTGTATATTTGAAATGGGAGTCCCCGGTGGCGCAGTGGGTTAAAGCGCTGAGCTGTTGAGCTTGTTGACCGAAAGGTCGCAGGTTCGATTCCGGGGAGCGTCATGAGCTTCCGCTGTCAGCCCTAGCTTCTGCCAACCTAGCAGTTCGAAAACATGCAAATGTGAGTAGATCAATAGGTACCGCTCCGGTGGGGAGGTAATGGCGCTCCATGCAGTCATGCCGGCCACATGACCTTGTAGGTGTCTATGGATGACACCAGCTCTTCGGTCTAGAAATGGAGATGAGCACCACACCCCAGAGTCAGACATGACTGGACTTAATGTCAGGGGACAACCTTTACCTTTACCTTTTATATTTGAAATTGTATTGTAATGTTTTTAATGTTAACCGCTTTGAGTCTCCTTACGGAGACAAAAAGTGGGATATAAATAAATATAATATTTGTTTAATATTATTGCAATATTTCTGTATCGTCACATGATATCATGGATGTGGGACCCAAGTCTAAACATAAATTTCAAATTATTTTTATATACACCTTCTACACATAACCTGAAAGTAACTCTATATATACTTCTCAACATTGCTATCTCTAATATCTAATTTCTAGTCCTTTAGTTCCTGTGATTGTGAATAAATTGTATTTCTTTGCATGTTTGTTTTAGATGGAAAACTCCAATGGGAAGAAGAGGCAAATGTAAATCGGTTGAAAAGCACAGAGGTAAGTGTGCTGTCACACGCTGGGCCTGTAGCCATTGTCTATTAAGAGGACGTGATCTTTATGTGCCCAGCGGGATGTCGGGATGCCTCGGCTGAGAGGCCCTATGAATTTCCCTATACAAAGTCTTTAGAAACTTGGAAAGTTTAACAAAGTTCTTTATTGGTGCAACAAATCAGTCAAATACTTCTTAGATCTTCAACAAATCAACCAAATATTTCTTAACTTGTCCACAATGGACAGGCAACTAGCTTCATGAACTGTTTCTTTCTTCTATGAGGGAAATCCTTTCGACTACTCCCTGGGCAATCCGTCTTTTAGGCTTAGCTGGCGTGGGGCTCTACTCCCGGTTCCACTTTGCTTTATGGATACCCAAGTAGACCTTACCGGCTAAAACACTGAAGATTTTCCAGCTGGAGTCCTTTGGATTTTTTCCACAAATGCTGTGGATCTGTTTCTTTAACCCCAACAAGGGCTGTGCTGTATTTCTTAGTAAAGCTATGAGAATTGTCTTCCCCAGCCAAGCTTGTAAGAAACGAAGCTTTTCTACGGGAGGGAAAAGCTCACATGTCTTGTAGTTGGGCTTCAAACTGTAATACAGAACAAACTGTCCCCTTTTCCCTCCTGAACCTGGAGAAAAGGGCGGTTCCAAAAGCCCCAGCGATGATAAGGCAGGCTACTAGCCTATGACTACAGCCAGGGGAAAGCTGCTTAACTGCAAAATGCCTGGCTAACAGAAACACGTGCAAACTAACGATGCATAGAAAAAGAAAATTTAGCTTCTGGCACAGCTGTGCCAGCACAGTAAGTATTCCCGATTTGGGTTTTTGCACGAGAGCAAGTTGTTGGGGGAACTATGGTCTGGATTCACCTTTAAGGAATGGGCATTGGGATTTTTTTTTGCTGTGGAGGACTAGATGGAGAAAAGGGAAAGCCTTTTAATTTAGGGAGATGATGGAAAGGTGGCTGGTGAGCAAAACCATTCCTGGTCTTCATCTAAACTTTAAACGAGGTGTCTAAGGTACTGAAACCTATCTCCAGTATTGGCTTGGGACCGTCAATCAGCTATGATTTTTAGCCTCAGCTTTGCAGATATGTTTATGATACTAATTTTGGATGCAAGTGAGGCATGTGTATGATAGAAGGAACATCCAGGAGTGAAGATTGAGGAACAAGGAAACCTGGGAGGGACTTTGAGAAGCTACCACAGGTATGGGCAAACTTTGGCCCTCCAGGTGTTTTGGACTTCAACTCCCATCATTCCTAACAGCCGGTAGGCTGTTAGGACTTGTGGGTGTTGAAGTCCAAAACATCTCAGTTTGGAAGATTTAACCTTGGGAGAGCAGAGTTTAGGAAGAATTCCCCTTTTTGGCCAAAATCACCCCAAATCCCAGCATGACTACTAGGATTGGTAGATCCTTCAAAATAGTTCTCTGCGGAAATGGTCTTGACTTTATCGACTTTCTCTGCTCTCACAGGCTTCACTGACCCTCACAGTCCCAGAATACAACAACAAGCGAGTTTCACGACCTGTTCAGACCTATTTTTATGTTTCCAACGGCCGCCGGAAAAGAAGCCCTGCTCAGGCTTTCAAATACTTACCTGGTAGGTAGAAGACACACAAGTGGAAGATGAAGGAAGTAGTTATGAAAACTAGAAGTGTGGATATACAGTACTGTCTAAAAAAGAAATGCAGTGAATAGTATTGTCTCTGTATTTGTAGGTTAGTATAGTTTAACCCCCTAATGGTGCAGCGTGTTGAACCACTGAGCTGCTGAACTTGTTGACCGAAAAGTCGGTGTTTTGAATCCAGGGAGTGAGGTGAGCTCCCGCTGTTAGCCCCACCTTCTGCCAACCTAGCAGTTCGAAAACATGCAAATGTGAGTAGATCAATAGGTACCGCTTCTGTGGGAAGGTAATGGTGCTCCATGCAGTCATGCTGGCCACATGACCGTGGAGGTGTCTATGGACAACGCCGGCTCTTCGGCTTAGAAATGGAGATGAGCACCACCCGCCAGAGTCGGACACGACTAGACTTAACATCAAGGGGAAGCCTTTACTTTTACCTATAGTTTATGTGTGCTTGTTAATATAGATATATGTTTGGTTTGTGGGGGCTTGGCTATGATTTAGTTTTGTTGTATGTTGTTGTGGCTAGTGAGATTGCTCCATAGTTATAGTGATAAATATATCATACAAATCTGCCTTTTTTGTATGGTTTTTCTTCTCTTTCTATTTCCCCATCTGCACTGACAATTTAATGCAGTTTCAAACCAGTCCTGTGCAGTTAATTACATAGAAACTCCTGGAAGCAGTTTGAAGCCACAAAGCATTGATGCGCATTGAGAGTTTTCTTTCACTCACTCTTGTGGGAGTTTGTTGTCTACTCACTGCAATTTGAATCTACCTTCCGATTGCATTAAATAATCAGTGTAGACGGGGACTACGTTTTCTTTATTTCTGGATAAAAATGAGTAAGCCAAAGGGGAAAAAAGAAGGATGTGATGATTCCCTTCGGAGAGAGAGGGCAGATTATAAATAAAGTGTTGTTGTTGCTGTTGTTGTTGTTATGAGAGGCAGATTCTAGAGCAGGCATGGCAAACGTCGGCCCTCCGGGTGTTTTGGACTTCAACTCTCACAATTCCTAGCAGCCTACCGGCTGCTAGGAATTGTGGGAGTTAAAGTCCAAAACACCCGGAGGGCCGACGTTTGCCCATGTCTGTGCTAGAGTCGCATCGCTGATGTCTTCTTTCATCCCCCTTCTTTTATCTCTCTTCCCCAGTGATCTTCAAGGAAGAACCACTGCAAGACTCCCCACATCATAACTTCCCCCATGTCTCTCAAAGCAGTCATTTCCCACAACAAACAGCCCCAGGAACCATGGATTTCTCCCCCTCAAGGCCGCCCTTCCCTTACGACCATTCTCCCCCCTGTTCTCCTTATGGTCCAGAGTGGAATCCATGTTCATTCCCAGCCCCACCGCGCTACAGCCCCACTTTCCGGTTCCCCTCCAACGAGCCCTACAGGGGGGCTAACCTTTCTGTCCCACTGCTCGCCCCACCGGCCTTGCCCCACTTCCAMGCTCTGGAATGCCGCCCGCCCCACTTCCAGCCCCCCAGCTCACCGCTTGCCCCTCCGCCTCCAGGGCAGGCGGAAACGTGCAGCAGGGAGAGAACCCCAGAGTGGGCAGATCCAGAACCGGGGTCTGAGGAGCACAGCACCAAGGGGAAGTCGGGGTTTGGCGGTGGCTTCCAGGAGAACATGCCCATCCATGGGATCACGCTGGAGGAAGGTAATGAAGTGTGAAGATTTCCAAACTTTCTTTCTCTATGAGCTTCATTTTGAGGGAAGAAGAAATATTCACCACCCTTCCATATTTTCCAAGTTTGAAATGGGTTAAAGCCAAAGTATTTGCAGAATATGGAACATCCTCTCCAAACACAAGAAGGGTATCTGTTGGAATGCTTGGATAGTGTGTTTCTGCATATTTAGATTGGCCATTGCTCTCCACCCAAGAAGTCTTCTGATTTCCTGGCTGCCGTTTGCATCTACAGTCATATTCGCGCCTAGAAATACAAAGTCTGTCACTGCCTCCACATTTTCTCGCTCCATTTGCCAGTTAGCAATCAGTCTGGTTGCCATCATCTTGGGATTTTTGATGTTTAACTGCAACCCAGCTTTTGCACTATCTTCTTTCATGTATTGTCGAAGGTTTTCATGGCCAGAATCACTGGGGTGTTGTATGTTTTTTCGGGCTATATGGCCATATTCTAGAGGCATTGTCTCCTGACGTTTCGCCTGCATCTGTGGCAAGCATCCTCAGAGGTAGTGAGGTCTTCTTTCATTTTTGTTAGAAGGCTCCTCAGTTCCTCCTTGCTTTTGGCCATCAAAGGGGTATCATCTGCATATCTAAACATTGTTAATGTTTTGTCCAGCAATTTTAACGACAGCCTTGGATTTGCCAAGCCCCGCACATTGCATGATGTATTCTGCATACAAGTTGAATAGGGAGGTGAGAGTATACAACCCTGCTGTATGCCTTTCCCAATCTTGAACCTGTCTGTTGTTCCATGGTCAGTTCTTACTGTTGCTACTTGGTCCTTATACAGATTCCTCAGGGGACAGACAAGACAAGGTATCCCCATACCACCAAGAACTTGCAACAGTCAAAGCCTTTAGAATAGTCAATAAAACAGAAATAGATGTTTTTCTGAAACTCTCTACCTTCCGCCATTATCCAGCGGATGTTGGCAATTTGGTCTCTCGTTCCTCTACCTTTTCTAAACCCAGCTTGTACATCTGGCAACTCTCGCTCCATGTCTTGCTGGAGTCTTCCTTGCAAGATCTTGAGCATTACCTTACTGGCATGTGAAGTAAGTGCCACTGTATGAAAGTTTGAGCATTCTTTAGCGTTTCCCTTTTTTGGTATGGGGATATAAGTTGATTTCTTCCAATCTGATGACCATTATTGTGTTTTTCATGTTTGCTGGCTTATGGCCTGCATCACCTTGATATTTGCTGGTTTGTAGCATGCTCCGTGTTAGTTAAGCTCTTAATTTGGAGCACAAGAAGGTTCTTCACTAGGACCTACCTTTGAGGCAGGAGTAAGTATAATTCAACAACAGCATCAAAATCCATGTATATCACAAAAGGAGTTAGCAAGTTCCTCCTTGTTAACATGGCTTATACCTTTGTGATCAGAGAACGGAATAAATTATAATTAACTCATTATGCTCTAGCAAACTTTGAGAATGCCTGGCCTCCAGGACTAAAATCCTACCACTAAGAGCAAGGTTTTAAAATATTATTTACTGTTTATCTAAGACCACCTAGAAAATTCGCATCTCAGGTGCAGTTTGATTCCAAAACATTGAGCCTTGAACTGTCATGCTTTGTGCCAATGTGATAAATTTTCTTCTAGATCCTCCATCTCATGGTTGGTTTGCCTTGTATTTTCCACACAGTAACTGAGATCATCGGCAGGGACTTGAGCGACTTCCCCGAACCACCTTGCGAAGGAGGCCGGAGTTGAGAGAAAACATATCCCAGGACTTTCCAAAGGAATCAGAAGCTTGACTTGGAGGACATTCAGTGACATCGAAAGATTGCCATAAGCAACTATCATGCTGGTTTTGGGGGACCCTGATATTTATACATTTATTGTTGAGGGTTTTTTTACTTACTGTTTCATATGTTCTTCCATCCTATTGTTTCTGCTGGTGCTTATGTAAGATGTAGTGTAGCTCAAAAGGGCCAGAAAAAGCAGAGACTCCCCTGGCCAAGTCTTCTGTCCTCCAATGATGTCCAGTCATCAAAAAAAGGATCAGCAGGTCTCTTGTCACTATTGGTCTGCTCCATTGCTGTCACTTTATAGCAGGCATGGGCAAACTTGGGCCCTCCAGGTGTTTTGGACTTCAACTCCCACCATTCAACTCCCACCATTCCTAACAACCTCAGGCCCTTTCCTTTTCCTCCTCAGGCACTTAAGGTTCCTTGATAAGGATGCATAGCATATTTGCAAATTTTCTAGGGCAGTGTTTCTCAAACTGTGCTCTTTCAGGTGTTTTGGAGACTTCAGTTCCCTGAAATCCCAGCCAGTTTACCAGCTGTTAGGAATTGTGGGAGCTGAAGTCCAAAACATCTGGAGGAGCTCAGTTTGAGAATGACTGTCCTAAACTATGGAGTTGAAAGGTGCTTTGACATATCAAGATGCTTATTTGACAAAATCACCAACTGCAATGATGTTTATTCTGTGCAAAATTAATGTTTGTGGGGGTTTGGGACAGAAAATAGCTTTTCTGAGCAGGTAATAGCATACTCTATGCAGAAAATAAGACTTTATTTTAAGAAAAATTATGAATTTTGCGTGGTATCGTAACATTTTCTGCACAGAATTTTCTTCTGCACAAAAATCTTACTTTTCAGGGACAGTTCTGTTCTCCATGCAATAATTTGCCCCACACTAATTTTTTCTTTCTATGCAAGAATGCTATGTGCTAATTTTGTACAGAAGTACTGTATTCCTTCCATTGTAAGACATCATCGATTGAAAGACACACTCTAATTTCAGTTTCCACAACTACCAACAGAAATACATGGGATATAACTGTGATTCTAAGATGCACTATCACATTTACTGAATTCCACTGAGTACTACACTTAAAATGTGGTAAGCTACTGTGTTCATCACATTAGGTTGGGGTCAAGTTTAGGGTAGAGCATTCTTTGCATACTTTAAGCGTAAGGGGCAGCATTCTTTTCAAACATTTCAGGAGGTCCTGGGGAAGTGGATTTTTGGTAATGATCCGGATATTTGGCCAGTTCTGTAATGTGATGGCATTTGTTCCTCTCAGGTTTAAAATTAAACATCCCCCCAATTTGTGGGAGGGAAATTGTGGGAGGAGCCAAAAGCACCCTTGTTAGGGAAAGTTCTGCCATTACCTTTTGCTCACTGAGTTTTTACTTTAAATACCAGTATTATTATTGTTATTATTAAGCGATGTGTCCATGCTGTGCAGTCCTGGGAGTCATAGTTTTCCAAGGTCCATACCCTTTTCTAGATGCATTTACAATATGGAATGAATGCCCTTGCACTCAACTTTAAATACCATAGCTCCATACTATGCGATCATGGGAGTCATAGTTTTCCAAGGTCCATACCCTTCTCTTGGAGCATTTACAATATGAAACGAATGCCCTTGCACCCCACTTTAAATACTATAGCTCCATTCTATGCGGTCATGGGAGTCATAGTTTCCCAAGGTCCATACACTTTTCTTGGTGCATTTACAATATGGAATGAATGCCCTTGCATCCCCACTTTAAATACCATAGCTCCATACTATGCGGTCCTTGGAGTTATAATTCCTAAGGTCCATACCCTTCTCTGGGTGCATCTTCACTGGAGAATAAATACAGTCCGGACCCATTTGAAATGCCATTATTATTATTTGATACACACCAAGGTAAGTTCACAGCAAACAAGATCACTATGCTGGCTTTTGTATTTGAGCATACGTCGGAAATTTCCCAAGTGTCTAGGACTATGTGATGTATCAGCAAATAATGTGTGTGGATCCAAGTAGGTGGCCTTTTGCAACTGACACTAATGATTACAATGTAATGGCAAAAATCAACTGAAAGAATGCTGAGTACAACTGAGTAACGCTGATACATTTAACAGTGTGATGAAGGTAGGGAAATCATCTGTTTCATTTCAAAACTGAGTGTGACTGAGCTCTACTCTACCAAACATTTCCCTACTTCAATGTGATGAAGTCCTTAGAAGTGTTTACATAGGGACAAAAGTGTGTCTTAGAACTGAAGGAATACAGTAGTTTTAGATTGTGGATGGTTTTCAAAAATGATGCCGTTTGCACCAACGGCCAGGGGCAACCCCTCCCCATTTCCCCACTCATACATTCTCCTAGGTTCTCCTAGGATGGACTAAGCTCTTGACTTCTGCCACTCAGAGAAGGGGATGGTCCCTTTTTTGTTAAGAGTCAAGGTATAATCCTCACATTAACATGTGGATTAGTTGACCCAGTTTTTTGGGGTTGATTTTTTTTGGCTAATATATCTAGATTTCTACCTAAGTATATGAGGTAGTGCATGGACTATCTTTTTTGAAAACCGAGAGGCTTGCCTACTATCACGTTGTTCCAAACCTGATTGATAGATTATATTAAGTGATACAAACTGAGTGAGTGGCTTCAGAAAACAGTGTCTCTATGGCAATGTGACATTAAATTTGCTCTAAGTTTTAGTTCAAATTGTAAAGGTACTACCCCATTGCTGAATCTATTCAGGGGTTTTTGACTGAACCCCTTGGTAAAGGTTTCCCCTTGACATTAAGTCTAGTCATGTCCGACTCTGGGGGGTGGTACTCATCTCCATTTCTAAGCCGAGAAGTCGGTGTCCATAGACGTCTCCTAGGTCATGTGGCTGGCATTACCTTCCTGCCAGAGTGCTACTTATTGATCTACTCACATTTGCATGTTTTCAAAGTGCTAGGTTGGCAGAAGCTGGGGCTAACAGTGGGAGCTCACTCTACTCCCCCATTCGAACCACCGACCTTTCAGTCAGCAGCTCATTGTTTAACCCGCAATAAATAATAATAATAATAATAATAATAATAATAATAATAATAATTTACTAAAATTCCGCTCTATCTCCCCAAAGAGGACTCAGGGCGGATTCCAACACACAACATAACAATGTCTCCATACACAGACAAATATTGCCAACATACTAATCCCAGAGGAACCCCACCTATCAAAACAGCATAAGAGCCTAACATCAATAAATTAAACCCAATGTAATCAAACAAAAATTGTGTAATGGCATAAAATCTGAACATAAAAACATTCACCTGGATTTATAGAAGCCAACTATTATTCATCAAGTTGTGCGGGTTGGTTGTGTAGCCAGTGATGGTTACTGGGCTAGCATAAACTAGACTGAGTCCAGATACTAAGTGGAACCGGGGACTCCTTAGAAAGCTCCTTAAATGTTGGACTAAAATATGTAATGGAAGACAACCCCCAGAAGAAGGGAATGAAATGTGCCACACAACTCAAAAAGGGTGCTTTGAGGTTTGGGAATATGCAAAAAGGTGTTTTCCCCATCCCTTTCCCAAGATCCTGGCCCTTGGCATGGTGTCAGGAACAGACCTTAGAAAAAACAGCAACAACAGAGCTTGGAAAGTTACTTTTCAAAAGGGATTCATTTCTATTACTTGCAGTAACACTATGTAACAAAATTTGAACTGGTTAGAAAGTGTCATTCCTGTTTAATTGTGCGGTACTTTACTTTGAAAGTAGTTGTTCTACTCCAGAAACTTCATTTTTGTGGCTGCCACAAACTATGTTGAATTGGTTGAGACTTGACAAGATAGTCATTGAAAAACTATAGCAAAATGTGCTGCAGGATGTCCCACAAGAACAAAGTTTTTGCAGTTTAAGCCAAAGTAATAACAAAGTACTGGGAATGTAATAATAACCAATACTTTTGAAATGTAACATCGCTACAAAGGTAATGCCGTTAGTTGTAAATCAGTGCTTCCAATCAGTGCTTCCTACACATACCAGAATCTCTACCTGTGTCTTATGGGGTGGTGGTGGGGGATTTTGGGATTTGTAGTACTCCCCCCCCCCCGCCCGCCCCAAGTTCTATCTAGACTTAAGCCATAGGGCTGAGGAAGTAGCTTAACCAAATGTGCCAATGTTTTCTCAAAGGGAGGTACAGTTGGTGGTTGTATTTTTGAATATATATATATGTGTATATGTATATTTTTATATGTATTTCGAGGAGCGGTGGGAATGTTCTTTTGTAATTAAAGACGTAAAGGAAATGGCACATCTTGTGCAACTGTGTGTGTATTTATGTGTGCGTATATGTCCATTTCTGGTTGCTGGAGGCAGCTGAAAGAAAGGGAAGTTCACAGAAACAGAGCAAAGAAGAAAATGTGGAAGTTGGTTGATGGTCCCTTTTTTGACGATATTCAAGTGTAAACAATGTTTTTGCTGCACAAACAACATTGAAAAAAGTTGCTCCAAGCTTGAGAACAAACCTAAGATGTATCCCTATGGCAGTGTTTCTCAATCTGGAGGGTTGGGACCACGGGGTGGGGGGAGTTGCAAAGTGGTGTCAGAGGGATCGCCAAACACTATCAGAAAACACAGTATTTTCTGTTCATCATGGGGGTTCTGTGTAGGAAATTTGGCCCAATTCTCTCTTGGTGGGGTTCAGAATGCTGTTTGATTGTAGGTGAACTATAAATACCAGCAACTACAACTCCCAGACATCAAGGTCTATTTTCCCCAAACTCCACCAGTGTTCACATTTGGGCATATTGAGGATTTGTGCCAAGTTTGATCCAGATCCATCATTGTTTGAGTCCACAGTGCTCTCTGGATGTAGGTGAACTACAACTCCAATTCATAACAGTAGCAAAATGACAGTTATGAAGTATCAATGAAAATAATCTTATGGTTGGGGGTCACCACAGCATGAAGAACTGTATTAAGGGGTCATGGCATTAGGAAGGTTGAGAAACACTGCCCTATGGAATGCTGTCTAAGTCTTCAGCTACACAATTTCACATCACGTAAACCGACATGGCTCAAGGCTATGGAATCATAGGAGATGTATATTTACAAGGTATTTATTCATCTTCTTTGCCAAAGAATGCTGGTACCTCCCCCTACTATAGCTCCCAAGATTGCATTACTTTGAGACATAGAAGTTAATGTGGTGTCAAACTTCATTAAGTCTGCAGTGTAGATGCACCCACAGCCCCTGGCAAAATCTTTATAAACAGTGGGTTGTTATAGGTTTTTTCGGGCTGTATGGCCATGTTCTAGAGCAGGGGTCCTCAAACTAAGACCCGGGGGCCAGATACGGCCCTCTAAGGTCATTTACCTGGCCCTCACTCAGGGTCAACCTAAGTCTGAAATGACTTGAAAGCACACAACAACAACAACAGTCTTATCAGCCAAAAAGCAGGTCCACACTTCTCATTGAAATACTAATAAGTTTATATTTGTTAAAATTGCTCTTCATTTTAATTATCGTATTGATTTAAAAAATGCACTACAAATAAGATATGTGCAGTGAAAGGTACTGGGAGAACTGGAAAGGAGTGGGAAAAGGGTGAGAGGGAGGGGGGATATAGGAACATCACACTCTCTCAACCTCAGAGGAAGGCAACGACAAACCATCTTGGAATACACCTGGTGAAGGAAACCGTGTCATGGGCTCTATGTATGCTGTAAACTCCTTCCTTGGAAGATTAGGCTGGATGGCCATTTGTCAGGGGTGCTTTGATTGTGCTTTTCCTGCATGGCAGGGGTTTGGACTAGATGGCCCATGTGGGCTCTTCCAACTCTAAGATTCTATACCAGGCATGGGCAATCCATGGGTCTAAATCAGTGGTTCTCAACCTTCCTAATGTCACGACCCCTTAATACAGTTCCTCATGTTGTGGTGACCCCCAACCATAACATTATTTTCGTTGTTATCCCATAAATGTAATTTTGCTACTTCATAATTTTGTTATGAATCAGCATGTAAATATCTGATATGCAGGATGTATTTTCATTCACTGCACCAAATATGGCACAAATACCCGAGATGCCCAAATCTGATTACTGATGGGGCTGATTTTGTCATTTGGGAGTTGTAATTACTGGGATTTATAGTTCATCTACAATCAAAGAGCATTCTGAACTCTACCAATGATGAAATAGGAACCAAACTTGGCACACAGAAGTCCCATGACCAACAGAAAATACTGGAAAGGTTTGGTGGGCATTGACCTTGAGTTTTGGAGTTGTAGTCCACCTATATCCAGAGAGCACTGTGGACTCAAACAATGATGGATCAGGACCAAACTTGGTACGGATACTCAATATGCCCAAATGTGAACACTGGTGGAGTTTGGGGGAAATAGATCTTGACATTTGGGGGTTGTAGTTGCTGGGATTTATAGTTCACCTACAATCAAAGAGCATTCCGAACTCCACCAATGATAGAATTGGGCCAAACTTCCCACACATAACCCCATGACCAACAGAAAATACTGTGTTTTCTGATGGTCTTTGATGACCCCCCTGACACCCCCTTGCGACCCCCCCAGGGGTCCCGACCCCCAGGTTGAGAAACTCTGTTCTAAATGATTCTAAAGTACTTACAAATCTAGGGGGCGCTGGTGCTTTGTTTCTACAGTGTTGCTAAAGTTCTGGTGGTGAAAATTTCAGAACTCTTAACAAAACTTTCAAAATTGTGTTATAAATGGCAGTTCCTAATTGGTTCTGTCATAAAAATGGCCAATTACAAAATAAGAATGAAATTTTGAAAATCCCACAATATTTGCTTTGAACTGGGTTATCTAAGTCCACACTCAGATATTGTGGAATTTTCTGCCATTTCTGGAATATAGGGCTGTGTGGAAGGGCCCACAGAGTGCTGGTAACCAAACTGTAAACCCCAGCAGCCTGTAGCATTCTGCCAGGGCAGCTCAAGTGGTGTCCAAGTGCATTCATTCTACAGTGTAGACAGACGCCCCCTGGGAAAAGCAGGAAATCACACTTCTCAAAAAAAACAAGCAAAGCAGTTGTGAAAGAGAAAGTAAACCACTGGAAGGGAAGCTGCTGGAGGGCTGTTGGAGCAGGAAGAGAAGCGGAAATGAAGATAAAGCCAGCCATGTCTGGCAAAGGCTGAGGCCAAGATCTGTTGCTCTGGAGGAGAGACTTGGAGGAGAAAGACACAGAGAGAGAAAAAGGTACTGGGAGAACTGGAGAGGAGTGGGAAAAGGGTGGGAGGGAAGGAAATGCAGACAGAGACAGAGAGAGGAAGAGGAAGAAAGGAAAAATAAAGAGGGCTCTTTATTTTTCTGAGTTCCCTCTGTCTGCATCTAGGTTGTGGAATGCAGAGGCTGGATGGTCATCTATCAGGAGTGCTTTGATTGTGCCTTCCTGCATGGCAGAATAAGGTTGGACTGGATGACCCTTGGGGGTCCCTTCCAGCCCTAGGATTCTTTTAAACTTATGTATAACTTAAACCTATTTATCACTTTTATTTTGTGTGTTTTAATGTATATTTTGTGTAAATATGTTTTAATAATAATAATAATAATAATAAACTTTATTTGTATCCCGCTMCATCTCCCCAATGGGGACTCGGTGCGGCTTACATGAGGCCAAGCCCAAAACAACAATTACATAAAATAAAACAAAACCGAAAGCGCAAATAATAAACAATAATAACGCAATTACATAAAACAAAAGACAACATAGCAATATAAAATTACAATAAACACTATCACAATAACATGGGCGAGCTACATGTAATGGATAAAAGRAAACTGGGTAAAAACAGATTAAAAACTCAGGCGAKATATTATTATTATTATTATTATTATTATTATTATTAYTATTATTWKTAMMCTRGCTAGCATCTCCCGAAGGACTCGATGCGGCTTACAAAGGCCARGRYCTCAACACAACAACAACAGACAATAAACACGAGATAAACAMGGACAGATWAWYTGTGTTTTTAWGGAGTGTTTTCARATKATTTTGTGTTTTTATGGAGTGTTTTAGCAATGTTAGAAATAAAATTATTATTATTATTATTATTATTATTATTATTATTATTATTATTATTAGAAACACAACAAGATGAGCACACACAGYAAACAAGGTCATATGCTGGCTATTGTATTGKATCAYACGTCGGACACTTCCCAAGTRTCTAGGACTGTGTGATGCATCGGCGAATAATGCATGCAGATCCGAATAGGGTGGCCTTTTGCAGCTGACAGATGGTAATATTGTCAGTGCTGATTGTGTTTAAGTGAGGCCAAGGTTTTTAAGCACTGCGCCCAGTGTGCCGATCACCACTGGAACCACCTTTACTATTATTTTATGATCCTAAGTCTATGGACTCCCTGGAGCTCTAGTTTGGTGGGGGCCCAGCACTTTCAGGAAGTGAAGGCTGAAGACTTTATTAAACTATAACTCCCATGATTCCATAGCCTTGAGGCACACTAGTGGAAGTGATGTCAAGTGGAAATCATTACACATTGTAATTGCAGCCTTAGGGCTCTTCCAGACAGGTCCTATATCCCAAGATCTCATTCCAGGTTTTCTGTTTATTTCAGATTACCTGGCAGTGCAGACTCATATAATGCAGGTTTAAGCAGAAAACCTGGTATCATATCCTAGGATATAGGGCAGTGTTTCTCAACCTACCTAATGCTGCGACCCCTTAATCCAGTCCCTCATGTTGTGGCGACCCCCAAACATAACATTATTTTCCTCCCTACTTCATAACTGTAATTTTGCTCCTGTTATGAACCATAATGTAAATATCAGGTATACAGGATGCGTTTTCATTCACTGGACCAAATTCGGCACAAATACCCAATACGCCCAAATTGGAATACTGGTGGGGTTTGGGTAGGGGTTCATTTTGTCATTTGGGAGTTGTAGTTGCTGGGATTTATAGTTCACCTACAATCAAAGAGCACTCAGAACTCCACCAATGATGGAACTGAACCATACTTGGCACATAGAACTTGCATAACCAACAGAAATTACTGGAAGGGTTTGGTGGGCATTGACCTTGAGTTTGGGAGTTGTAGTTCACCTACATCCAGAGAGCACTGGGGATTCAAACAATGACGGATCTGGACCAAACTTGGCATGAATACTCAATATGCCCAAATGTGAATACCGGTGGAGTTTGGAGAAATAGTCTTTGACATTTGGAAGTTGTAGCTGCTGGGATTTATAGTTCACCTACAATCAAAGAGCATTCTGAACCCCACCAATGATAGAATTGAGCCAAACTTCCCACACAGAACTCCCATGATCAACAGAAAATATTGTATTTTCTGATGGTCTTCGGCGACCCCTCGGACACCCCCTCGTGACCCCCACAGGGGTCCCGACCCCCAGGTTGAGAAACACTGATATAGGGTTTGTCTGGAAAGGCCCCTAGATGAGTACTTGCTTTCCATGCTCCTTCCTCCTCTATGTCATGGACAATCAGGGATCCAAGCAGTTGGGGAAGGAATTCTTTAAAAGTTTACAGTTGTGAGCTAGTGTTGCCAGATCACCATTACTGTCGCAACAAATAAATAAATAAAAAATAAATAAATGATAATAATATTATAATGTAATACAATATAATAATTTTATATTATATATTACATATTTATTTATTTATTTATCGTGTCAGGGGCAACCCATCACTTTTTCGGCCATGTCCAGCATTACTTCCAATTTTAATTTTACATTTGGCCTTCCCATAGTTTTTAATTGTGTGGTCTTATTGTTAATGTTGCATTATTGTATTGCCAATGTTTATTTTAATTGCTTGTATTGTTGTTATTATTGCTTGTATTGTTGTATTTGGGCTCAGCCTCATGTAAGCCGCACCGAGTCCCTTGGGGAGATGGTAGCGGGGTACAAATAAAGTGTTGCTATTATTATTATTATTATTATTATTATTATTAATTGTATTAGCCTATAGTGAAAGGACCAAGGCAGTGACATCTCCAGCTCATCCCCTGTTTGGATATCAGCCAGCACGTCAATAACTTAAATCAAGAAATATATTACATGTAATATTGCTAATAATATTATAGTATAGTGGTATAGTACAATATAGTAATATATAATACTAACATTGTGGTATGCTAATAATATAATATATTGTATGTACATATAATATTTATCATAATGTAATACAATATAATACTAATAATAATACAATATAATAATATAATAATATATTATATATACATGTAATATTCCTAATATTATTGCAGTATAGTGGTATAGTACAATATAGTAATATATAATACTAATATGGTGCTATGCTAAAAATATAATATATTTTATGCACATATAACTTGTAAGCCGCTCTGAGTCCCTGATTTCCTAGAGAGATATTCTCTCGGGTTAAAAAAGTATAGCAATTTTTTTGCAGCCTGGACTCAATTGTTCCCCCTCCCTGCCAAAAAAAATTCTTTCAAACAGCAAAGGTCGATTCTGCCACTTTATAGTAGGGACACCATTTTACTATATGCTATTGTATATAACGGGACTTGAGCGTTCATAGATTTTGATATCCATGAAACCGAACCTACGTGGATACCAAATACCCTCTGCATGTGTGTATATGTGTATGAGGCAGAGATGGAAACAATATTCACTGTTAATAATAATAATAATAATAATAATAATAATAATAATAATAATATACTTTACTTATATTCTGCTCTATCTCCCCAAGGGGACTCAGAGCGGATTACAGAACACATATATGGCAAACATTCAGTTCCATTATACAATTAACAACAAAAACAGACAGTACATAGTCAGAGGCAAAAGCTTCCCTCTTTTTCATCTCCGGCATCTGGATACTGTGCTCAGCTCTGGCAATAGGGAGGTGCTGATGTTCCATTTTCCATACTAAGGAGCCTATTCACTATGGACGCCTTCCTGATCGGATTGCTGGCATGTCTTCATGGGTGTCTTTTCCCTCACCGCCAAAGCGGTCCCTATTGATCTACACACATTACTGTTTTCGAACAGCTAGGTAAGCAGACGCTTGGGCTGACGGTGGGATCTCACCCCAACCATGGCTTTGGACTGCCTACCTTCTGGTCGGCAAGATTTTCTGCAGCTGGTGTTTTAACCCACTGTGCTACCGCAGACCCTGTTCAATTTCCTATTGGAAAATAATGGCTTTTCTGACATGTCAAAAAAGATCAGTAATAATAACAAGGAACTGTGAATTTTGTACAGGGTTTCACCTTGCATTCACACATCCTAAGCAAAAACATGCAGTGTTTATGCCTGAAAAAAATGTGATTTTGTACACTTGTGGCATTTTTTGCACAACTTACTTACTTTTTTTGTGCAAATGTGCAATGACAGCAGGGTGCCTTTCACAAAAACACTCGTAAAAGTCAAAACTTTTCTACCAAATATTGCTCAAAGAACCTAAAGTAATTCTAAAGTAATTTCTGGAAAACAGTGTTTTGTAATGTAAGAACTGTGATGGTTTTTTTGCTGCATAGTAAAGGTAAAGTTAAAGGTTTCCCCTTGACATTAAGTCTAGTCGTGTCCGACTCTGGGAGGTGGTGCTCATCTCCATTTCTAAGGCCATTAAGTCATGCTGTGGCCAACATGACTTAATGGAGCGCTGTTACCTTCTTGCTGGAGCGGTACCTTTTTATCTATTCTCATTTGCATTTTTTTCAAACTTCTAAGTTGTCAGAAGCTGGGACTAACAATGGGAGATCACCCCACTCCACAGGTTCAAACTGCTGACCTTTCGGTTAGCAAGTTCCACAGCTAAGTGGTTTAATCCGCTGCGCCACCATGGCACTTTTTGCTTCATAGGTCCCAGCATTGCAGCAGTTGGTAATCCAAGTTTAATTTGCTCCAAGGATTAAAAACCCTTTGCTTGATCTACCTATCATAATAAAGTGAGGAACAGGAAAGCCATATACATTACCTAGGGCACATCTACTTTAACAGCCACTGCTCATTGCTATGTAATCATGGGTGCTATAATTTCATGGGGCTTTTAACCTTCTTTGCCAAACAGTGCTGGTGGTTCAGACATCTGCAATTCCCATGATTTGTATCATCGAGTCATGGCAGTTAATGTGGCGTCAATCTGCATTAATTCTACAGAGCAGCTGTACTCTATGATGTAAACCTTTCTTTTATTTCAGTGGTTCTCAACCTTCCTAATTCTAAT